GCATTGTTCTACCTGTTAAATTGGGCTAATGTTGATTACAAATGACGCTTCATCGGATTTGGCTTTCTCGGCGGCGTTCGCTCGACATACCTCGGCGATTTCGATACACAAAGGAAACTGTGAAAGGCAAAACGCTGTTCGATCAGGCATTAGTCTAATATCTATACTTAGAGCCTGGTAAAAATGCTTTACGTCGCTTTTACAGTACTGTTGTATTATCACGCAAAGTGATGATACGACTAAACGCGACGAATCGTGGAATAATACGCGATAAACAATTGGCTCTGAACGATTTTCAATCATGCGAATCGTATCTAATTATATTCGCATCGGGCTTAATGCCCGACAGCCCCGACGCACATTTCCGCGCACAATGTGAAACACGTGCAGAACACGCGACAGATCCCACTCGTTTTTCCTATAAAATTAATTTTTATACCCGCGTTTTCATCCTAACGTAATTTAATTCCGCTATATCTACGCGTGCGATCGTGAATTAAATATTAGCAATCGTATTTATATGCATCTCGTTTCTACGCACATATACTTAATGAGATCAGATCGGATACGTTCTTCCAACGTTTCTTTGAAATGGGCGAAACTATAATCCCTCGAGAATAGAGAGTAGAGAATATTTAAGCCGCTCTAAAATAATCTCTAACAAAAATTTAACGAGAGCGAAACTTACAAGTGAATAAAGGTAGTACCTTTTCATACTGACGCTGAACGCTCATTTTCAGCAAAACAGATTTAAATCGAACTTGATGAATACCAAGCATCAATTTTGATCATGTGATCCGTTTAGACGCTATAAAAATGAGCGTTGAGCGTCAGCATGAAATAGTACCTTAAATCACTCGGAACTTCTGTCACGCGAAACAATTAAGAATTATAGATTAATTGGTAGTACGAGATTTTATATGGACTCGCGCTATCGACATAATCCTATCGATGTATCGCTATCGACGTCAATATATGCTAATACATTTCGCCCACTTCTAAACTTTATTGCACCTGCATCTATTCGTTGTATACTGATTGAGACGCGCGAGACAAATGCCGCACGTGGCCAGATACGCTGTGTTCGCTATGGTTTAGAAAGTCCGCGAAACGATCAGCTCGTGAATGTTATAACCGTTTCACAATGAATCACCGTGTAAGATGCGCCCGCGTCGACACGTGTAGTCTTCACAGTGGAGGAACACACCCGAGAATCCTCGGTGCAAAAATCTTTGGTTCATTATGCACCGACCGGTGGCGAATCTTACACTCGATCGGTGCCCGGAGGAAGATAACTGTCGTTATTAGCACTTCTGCGAGAAATGTGTAAAACTAACTGTAAACGTAATAACCGTTATGTGAGATTTGTGTGCCGGCTACTATTTGCTAATGTGTGTGTACTTAAAATATCAAGTCTCGATTATCGAGACATATTGACAAATGAGACTACCTATAGCATTATTTCCTTTCTACAAATCATGTAATAATGACACATATGTGAAAAACTTTTCCGTAAATTTATGTCAAAATTAATTTTAAATTTTTCTTCTTCTAGCTGGCTGTACATATAATTTAAATTAGTACATATTAAAATTGAATCCGAAAATTATTTTATATTCTACATAATGCTCTCTTTAATTTAATTAAAAAATAATTTTATATGAGTAGTCCAACGTACTTGCATGGTTTATAGAAAGATTAACAATATAAAAAAAATGCGCCTACATTCTACCATATTTGTGCAAAAATGTAATCAAAAGATATCTCTGTCAACGGAGTCATCAAACATGATGAATCAACGTAATAACCAAATAAATCACAGTATTCTCAAGCCTACCACAATAAAATTGTACAATAAAATATAATTACTTAATAAAAATGATTCACTGCTGACATATATTACTGCAGGATTAAACCGCGCACAAAATTTACAACGGTGTTAAACATTTTTTAATATCTGCAAGATCTTGTGTTATACAATTTATTAAAGTCCCCTACAGTAATACAAATTGGCATCGGCTAAAATTTGCATATTTTTGGGTTTCGAGGGAAAAGAATGAATTTTGACATTCGATTGCTTCAATAATACGTACACGAGCATACTTATTGTTTTGTATTTTTGGCGAACTTGCATGGCATGTCAAGTAAACCGGAAAACGTAATGTTATCTCTGCTCCTTAACTACGATGTCTTTAAGCGCACACGGCGCAATTTTATGTCGCACTTGACGATCATAAATGTCTTAACGATTCCGCCGGCTCCCTCGCACCTTTTAAACACACTATCGTGAAAGATTTCGTTACATGTTTTTCGTAACGCCCGAACGTGTATGAACGAAAAAAGGAGAGATAAAGAAGAAACTGTAATAGCCGAGTTATACGTGATACGATCGAGAAGAAAATAAATCATTATTACTCAGCGTCTGTGAACGTTGCATATCGAGTACGCTGAAAATCTTTACATTTTTCGGATGATTAAGAAATGCGCGCTAGAAAAACAGGAAGACCAACATACATGCGCACGTGTGATTATGCGCGTATTATGATTTCTAACTCTTGTGGAAAGATCGCTATGTACTGACATTGTGAAAGATCGCATGTGTATTAAGTGATCATTAGATGCTCTCGTAACTCCATTCTGCCTCGTTACATTATCGCGCATCATAGAACACGTCTCCCCTGTGGTTTCTGAAATATTTCATTATTCTTATCGCGGGTTTAATTAGTCACTACCCGGTCGTCTCGTCGCTCGATATTACACACACGTATAAGCTGTGTGATATTAATAGAAGTAATTTATACAGAATGTGTTAGCGCAATTGGCAACCTTTCTGTTGATGTTAATACGCAGGTGAATGCTATATATCTTTCTTTTTTCCTTGCGAGATCAATATAAAGTAGCTATTTAATGGAAATTTTCCGTGTAAAAAAATAATGCAATATTGCATCTTATTGCTAATTACGAAGTCATGTGTCTAATATTTTCTCTTGAGTGAATTGTGAGGCAAAAAATTATAATAATGAAGTAGACAATCCTTTCACTTTTGCAATGTCGAGTTTTGAATTTTTGCATACTGGATTTCCTGAATTGTCATATTTCAAAGAGCGTCATAATACCACGAGCAAATGAAAAATTCGATGCGCTCACTACCGTAACATCTTTTAAAATCCTTGCTGATATTCCTGTGCAATATGTCACATGTTACCGTAATCATATATTTCTTTAGAAAGATTTACGGGAGCTGAGCTTTTCTTCTGCCGCATCCGGATAAAATATTGATGAAATCGTCGGTGAATCAAAGTTCAAATCTTACGGTATGCAAAGTGAAATTAGTTACGTAACAACACACTTTCCGTAATTCATCTTCAGTATAGAAGTTTCTAGTGTAATTGTAGAACGGAAGACGCAATTGATATAATCGATTTTAGATCGCACATTGCAGCAACGAAATATGCAATCAGACGCATCAACGGATGTTTTGTTGGATCTCTTATAATAACAACGTATGTATCGGTCAAATATTCGAAGAACCAGCACATATACTGAATATGTAACCAAGTGATCATCTACAAGTCACATGCAACTCTCTACAGATATATCTATACGTGATACTAAAGTGAAAGCATTTACATCCATGAATATAAAATATATTGCAACGCGAAACCATTAGTTCTTCTTCTCTATTAGATGTGTATATGTGTATTAGGTTTTGTATTAAATCCAAATTCGGTGACTGACAAGATATTTCAAAGAAAGTAAATAATTGTTTTTTATATAGATTTGCACAGATATATTTTTTTGTAGTATGTTATATTTTTCTTGAAAAATGTTTTAATATTATAAAAAATAATATTTAATGTTTAATTTATAATTATTGTAAGTAATGTAAAATTATTGTAAAATAATAATAATAATAATAAAGTAAATAATGCAACAATTCTCTTATGGAAGAAACCTGATCGTCATTTATATCATGGCATTAAAAATAACGCGATTTAAATTATGCAACTCGATATAAACGTCGCGATGCTGCACTATTGTAAAACGAAGAGGGTTTATCTATTCGTTATCGAAAGTCTACTCCGAAATAATCGCGCAGAATAAGCGCAACAGCTATATTACGTTTCCTTAGTATCGAGTGTGTGCTATATCTTGAAGCAATCGTAGCTCCACATCACTGAAACGAAGCGCGTCCAAGTATCACGACTGTTTGCAGCGATCGGACGTGCATATAAACCGTTCAAGATATAAAACTACGTACGAATTTCTTAGATCGATCAGATCTTTCTCACTCTATAATACATGATATTTCTCAGAAGATATTACTTTCACGCTTGTAAAAAATGAAACTTGAAGTAAATAATTGTACGAGATAATGTTATTTTAAATCTATCTTTTACTAATGTCAATAATGAGCATTATTGTTACTTATGAATAAAATAAAGCGTTATTATATCCGGAAGATTAACATTATTTATATCTAATAAAGCGATTTTATTTCTTTTTACTTCTCTCTGCTTTATATTGTACGACACAAGTGTCTTATCTGCTGCTTTTATATTTCATCGACAAACCGAAAAAGCTGTACATCTCATCAAGTAACACGATGGATAGCGCATATAAAAAAGTATTTTTGTACTTATGCCTTGAGAATATTGAAATTCACAATTATCTCGCGCAATTCAAACAAAATGAAATAACATTATCGTCGCATTATGTGAAGTTCGAATACAGCGCAAAACGTTTCAATAACCTGATTTTGCACATTTGTGCCGGACATCTAATAATGGATACGCGTTCCGTATTCTCGTTCCCTATCGCGGTGATTTAACCCCCACTTTGGCATCTTTACTTTCTAAACGCGAGATAGAATTATCTTTCGTTCGATTAAAACTCATTGGTAGCGATCGCGCGCGTGGCACGCAATGGTGTCCAGAGTTCACCACAATTGACGAAAAACCACCCCCTTCGTCAGCAACCCCCTCCGTCACAATACTCACGTCTTAGCAGATCGATCGTTCGAATCAGCGACGATCTCGTGTTCCCCTTCGTCTCGGTGGACAGAGAGACAGGTGGTTGGTTCTCGCGAGGGGTTGTTCTATCGACGCAGCAGAGGGTAGGAAACCCTACGTTGACAGCCGTGGCTAGCCCCGTTCTCGTGAACGTTGAACGAATGAATTGTCTCGCGAATCGATCCGATTCGGATCTTCGGTCGAATCGAATTCTCGAGGCACTTCAACGGTGGCGTGTGTCAAAGACGAGATTGCGGGGGTCGTGCGGGGAGCGTGTTCGCGAGCGCGGGACGAAAAACTACTTCTGGAAAAACGCGTCCGAACAGTTCGGGGGTTCGGAGACAACTGAACCTGCCTGACTGTCGGCGGACTTTGGAATCGGTGAGCGGTTCGCCGCGTTCGGTTCTCGGTTCGCCGATTCTCGGCTCCGCGGGTTCGTATACGCGCGAGTCGCGGCCGTCGTTTTCTCTCTGTACACGCGGCGCACGGTGCACCTTCGTTTGCTCCTACCCTACCTCCCTTTTCTTCTCCTCCTCCTCCACCTTCTTTCCACCTCCTCAAAACCCCTCTCTTTCTCTCTCTCTTTCTCGGGGTTTTGCTGTTGTCTCTTCTCTGTGTGTCTCTTCTGTGTCACTGGCCCGTGTCATATCGCCGTCAGGTGAACAGGTAGCCCCAAGGGGCACGATTGCACGTGCGTATTAAATCTTGCTCACGCACGAGACCAAAATCGCGACGACGACGCGACGTCTCAAATCGCGCGTGCACCCGATGTATTCTCCCATTGCTTCGTCGTGTCATTTAGCCGCTTCCGAACCCTCCTTTTTTCAATTTTATTAAATTTTATCAAATAATTTACGCCTCTCGGATTGCAATGTAAAATTACCTAAGAGATTATCTAATACAATCTATTCACGCACTCATAAAATTTGCATTCATAAAAATTATTTCCAATTATGTAACTTTATAATTAGTAATTCCTCCGGCTGTTTCGCAGCCGTTGTTTTCCTCAGTTTAATTCCGATATTCGCAGCTCTGTGGTCGCATCAAACATTCAGTAATAATATATAAATAAAAAACTCAAATGTGTACGTTAATTTTCATGTGCAACTGTAATGTGTCATTTTAGTATTAAACGTACACAGTACATTAAATACATAAATAATCCACAATAGTTCAGGATAAGACGATTGATGCAACACATAAATGCTTATAGTTTTGCCTTCGGAAACGTCATTACACGAAGCATCAGGCGGAAAATAATGCATCGTAAGATATGTGATTATAAGATATATGCTTGATTACATCGGTCTACTTGAATGTGAAGTTTACTGTCGCGCGAATTTAAAGAAAAAGAAAGGGAAAAGGTCCTATTAATTCTGATAATTAAACAACATGGGTTACACTTTCACGAACAGAAAAACGAAAGTTCTGCACCGGTGAAATAACTGTGTTTCACGTCATTCACGTGTCACTGGGTCACTGTGCTTTCCAGCGATGGAAAATTTTTTCCTTAGATCGTTAGATCACTTTCGACAAAGCGACCAGTCTACATGGCAAAAAGACATCGCTCAGATGTTAAAGATAAATAATTAAAATATATTCACGTTATTAAAGTGCTCAGCCCAATTTTAGCAAATCACATATTTATATTATCACATGTTGCGTGACTATAAAGATAATAAAATATAACGAAAATGAGATAATAAAGTTTCAACAATTAAAAATTGCCCGAAACAATTTCACAATAATACGTTTAAAACAAATTCTAGAAAATGGAATATATATGTTTAAAAATGTATTACCGCTAAAAAAAATTTACATAATTTTGTCGCAATTTACACTAAGTACTCGTAATTCAAAAGGTAAACTCTAAACGTATATTTGTTATCACGAAGATCGAAAGATTAAAAATAAAATTACAATAAACTAAATAAACGATGATTGTTAATCGCAATAGTACAACAGACTAGTTAGTAAACTAGTTGAGACGGAAAGACGTACCGGTCTCTCGAAAAGGAAACGACGGATCGCCCAGTAAGGCAAGTCTTACTGAGATGGTGACTTGAAGGAGAACTAAAGTTCACTGGATCCTTTGTACACGACAACACAATTCGTTTCTTACAATTGGTTAGCCATATATCGCCCGTAATGAGACAGATTTTTCCCGTTAATCAGCGATGCGCCTTAGAAATTGCATTCGCCGATCGCGAAGTTGCACCGTGTATCGCGGCCGCGCGAATACTCGGAGAATCCTGTCCGAGACAGTACTTGAAGATTCGTTACCAGATGACGTCACACAGAGACGATCTGAGGTATCATCAAGTAGTGCTGATAGGCTGCCGTACTCCCCCTACTTTCGGATTCGCGAGAGCAGATTATTAAGATAGGACGCGAATGCGTGCATCAATTATCTTATCTAAATTTATTTTACTAAACATACGATACATTGTTGAAAGAAAATACGCTCTGTCTGTATTCTTATCTCACTGTATACAGAAGCGTGAGAAATGCTTGCACGTTGCACATTAGAGAGAATTGTACATGTGCAAATATTTGTGAAATAAATGTCCCTTTTAGTAATGTAATTTTTTTCGCAATTGCTAATTTTAATTAACGATTAATCTTAATTAATTTTGACTGTAAATTACAATAAAAGATTACTATTTATTTATAATTATATTGATGCGATCTCACTTCGAATATGACGTTAAAGCACATTTTAGTAGAACGATAGATAGCTGCTCGGTCGTATATCATTATTCATTATTTTCTGGTAGTTTCGTAACGTTTCTCTAAGCATAGTGATCTGCTGTCAGTCGTACGCGTTCATTATCTTTTGCTAGCGCGCGCGTAGTTATTATTCAATTACGTGACTCCCATGTAGGAATTGAGTTTTTTTCATTTCAGACAAGAATTATACATGTAAGGTATTGATTTCATTCTCTTTTCAATTATCATAAAATTTATTGCTGATATAGCGATGCCTGGCACGTGTCAAACACGCAGAGCACGTGAGAAAGAACGGTGAGCTGACTCTTGGCCGCACATGAAACGCACGTGAAATGGTCAAGTGCCATCGGGTTTTTTCCACGAGGCTCGACAATAATCGATACTGATGTACTGTGCCTAAATGCAAGGTGAAAGAATCATTTATTTTACATGCCAGATGCGTACGCACCACTTCTCCTTGATTGTTGTCTTTCTTTGTCCTTTTCTAGTTGTTACCGTGGCATCGTATCAAGAATTGCTATTAGTCTTTAAAACACTCGTAATTTTAATCGACCTAAAGCAATCGCGCGCGCGCGCGCGTTATTGATAACTATTGCGAAGTCTTTCAGTTCCTATTTCTAAATCCATCAGGATCTTGTAATAAAAGCTTGGAAAATAAAATTAAAATTAAAAATGTTTTATATTATAACAAGCGTATATAATTTTTTAATCACATAACATTGCTATAAATTTCAATTTTATAAGAATAAATCAAAGTCTTACATAATTAAAAGAATTATAACATAATGCTACATAATGCTGAAACGACATAGTCGAATAATATACGTTATGCATATCTTTATGGATTATTTTGACACTGATTTAATTGATTAGTTTCGCAATTTAAAGCTCTAATTATAAACGGCAGTCATGTAATATTAGAGCAATTGACGGCTTTCACCGAACGAAGCTGAAAACAGAATAAGATATTCGCGATTCTATTTGTCCCGCGATCGAGCGAACAATACTTTCTCCTCATTTTTCAAGCCAACCGCCAAGAAAATACACGATACATTTTTGGGCTAATGTCCATCTATCAGTGCTTATTCATCGGATACACTAACATAATTTTTAATTTTCGCCGTGCAGACTGGTATCATGATTAACAGCTGGTGCGTGTCGTCAGGTCATGTCACGTCAACATCACAGCGCAAACAAATCATAAAAAAATATCATTGCCGCCAGGTAATCTACTACTCAAATAAACTGTTTGAGAATTGCCTCGGGTTTACCAGGAGTCAGTTATAATTAAGTCAGTCCGAAGGAAGGACAAGGGCTTAAGTGGCAATGAGCGAAATGATATTCAAGAAATTTCGCATAAATAACAAATAATAATCACATGCTACCTGAATCATACTCCGCATTGTGCGGTCGAGCGTGCAACCAAATACGTATTTGCAGCTTAGTAATCGATGACCTTTCGAAACGCAATTTTCAATCGAATTTAATCCGAGGTCCGCACCGAAGATGACATAATTGTAAAGATTCGTGATGGACAATATAAATGTCCTTGTGGCACATTTTTGGCAAACGAGCTCATCATTCGCGTGTCATTATAGGTGCATTATCCGCGATTATTGATCGGTATATTGCGGTATACAACTGGATGAGTCAGTTTCTCTCACTCTGAATGGCACTGAGTTACAAAGAAAAGATAAATTTGCTTTTATTATATCACTCAATTTTATTATTTTTTTATTAAAATATCTTTGACTTTAAGCTCTTCAAAAATTTAGCTTAATAAAAAATTAATATACATTTATATTATATGTATAAATTTGCATATATAATACATAAATTAAATTTTTTAACAAAATTTAAATTTTTTTGACGAACAAAGCAGTTACTTCTGCAGTTTCGTTGATCAATAAGTCAAACGGGGTCTTCTATCTACGAATTAATTATAAATATGACAAAAAATATGGGAAAATATAGAAATTTATAAATATAAGTTCAAATCGCAATGCATTTTTACATTAATTATCGTTACTTGTATTATACTTTTAGAGTTTATATATATTATAATTTTAAAAAGAGATATATTATAATATAAAATGTATTCTGTAAGAGCAATCAACGTTTAGAATTATCGTGAAGCGAAAGAACCAGAACGTTCATATTCAAGAGTGGTTTCATTGTAATATATCTCATTGTCTCAATGATAAATCGTCTCTCGTTGCATGTTCGATTTCGTCGTAATCTTTTTTTATAACGGATTTGCCATTTGACGAGGTAACAAGATACTCCGTTTGGTGAGTTATCGAACAATAGCCGCGTGCCAACAATGAGAGACGACGAAAGTTATGCTCTACGCTCTCAATGCGCCTGCAGCCACGTGAAGGAGTCGTGCAAAATGGTCGTCGCAACGTTATACTTGTCAGACTTGCGAACAAGCTTCACAACGGAAATATGCAAATTATTTCAAGTGAAGTCTTGTTTGCAGTGTGTTTCAAAACAGACATTTTAAAAATATCTCATCTTCTGTTTCTTACGTGCAGTGGTATATCGATTACGATTGCCCAGCAAATAATCGCTGGTTATTAATTAATTCTTATCAGAAATCAAAGAACAATTAATTTATTTGTTACTTTCTGTACTGAAATTGAAATTTTGCTTCGCTTCGCGAGATTTGAAAATTTAATTGTTCTAAACAAACGACAACGTTATAAAATAAATTTTCAATTTCCGAGCAATTTTCA